TCAATGTGACCCTGTTCTGAAGCTTTGGCAGGTCAGTGCCCCAGAAAACTGTTAGACTTGTCAGTACAGCAACCAAAGTCAGCATGGGTAAATGCAGAGGTGGGTTTTCTTTTTTGGGGGGGAAGAGGGGAAGCAGCATTTTCTCCAAATTACAGCCATACTATACTACCCCTAAAATTGCAATATACAGTTTTATCATGTATAACTTAGCCTTTCATGTCTATCCATGGCTATCTTCCTATGTAGAAGTAAGGGTTAAGGGGGCTTGGAAGCCCTAAAGTCTTGGAAAAGCAAGAAGGGTAAAGAGGGTAAAAGCAGCTATTTAAAGGATGTGTTTTATGTCTTATGAATGAATATATGAATTTAGTGTGGCACTGGTTATTTTATATTACTGTAAGTATTCAATAGCTTTGCTAAAATAAGAAAAACCTCATATCTATCAGAGAGCTACATGCAGATGTTCTGTTCCTTTACAGATAGAAAAGAGAAACAAGTGCTCAGGTGTCCTAGGAAAGAGCAGCATCAGTCTGCACAATTATTGTGAATGACTTTGTTCTTTTTCAGTCACGTTGATACCATAAAATCTTTGTAAAAGACACTGATTGTAACCTTTGATAGATATATTTATATACTTGCTGGTTAGTTGTATATTTTGTAAAAAAAAGAGTATGCACTTCAAATAACGCTTCAATGCCTCCTTTTAGATAAACTTTGTACACTGTTTCTATTGTACATTAAGATCTCAAGGGCTCTGTACCCAAAGAAAATGGAAATTAGTTTCCTTGTAAATTCACATGGGATCAATGATAAAATTTATTACTCAAATTTTGACACAAATAAAGTTATTCATGTAAACATGTTTTTTCATACTCTGTCTTTCTCAATATATCAAACTAGTCCTGGTAAGAGGCATGTTAACAGCTTACAGCTGCTGGTTGGTACAGACACAGCCTGCTCTAACCTGGCATTGCAGTATCAAAGCAGGTTACACGAGGATGCTCTGCATTGCCTTCGGGGCAAAACTGAGATGTTTAACTCAGGTCTTACAAATTACCTTTCCTTGTTTCAGGACAGGGAAACAGTCCCACGTGGAGCACAAGGAGACTGAAACAGTGCTAAGTTGTCCCGTGAGAGGGCAAACGTGGTGCACAGAGCCATGCTGGGGTCCCACTCGCTGCGGGGACAGCGCCACCAGGCACCTCCTCTCCTCCTGAGCACGACTTGACTGGGCTTCAGGTTGCTCTGCACTTGCTTTGTGCTTGTTTAAAGGAGGTTTGTACAAATACACAGTCAGTGCCAGGTAAATTCTGAATGGTGCTTGCACTCTGCACAAAAAAAACTGATCCAAAGGACTTTTGTTGCTCAAACTTCAAAACTCCTAACTTCTTGAAATATAACTACCCATTAGAGAAGAATGGATTTGGGGGATAACCTTAAAGCTTGCTTGAAACACTCCCATTAGCTGTTCAGCATAAAGTACAAAATGATAAAATAGCAGGTCAACAGGAAATGGAGGTAAACGCAAGGCCTTGGTGAGAAACAACAGGTTAGTATGTTCCCAAAGTATAATTAACAATTCACCTCTTCCCTTTCCAGTATGGAAAAGGGGAAGTTATAGAAGAATAAAGACTGGAAATATTTCCTTTACGCCACATACCTACGCTATAAATGGGTATTATACACGCAAAGCCACCTTAAGGGTCACAAGATTCCTATCAGCAGCAATCAGGGCAAGACTCAATATCACAGCTAAGTTGAGTATTTAATGCCCATTAGGCAGGCACTTACTTTCTTGCTAGTGATCACAGCTGCAAATTCCTTTTACCAAGTTTGAAACAGCAGAAGTACAATGTAAGTCTCCACTAGGAATAGTAAAGCCTTAAAAAAAAAAAAAAGACACTTTTTATCTATATAAAGGTCTAAAAGCTTAATTAAAGCTTAATTCCTGCCCTCACAATGCTTTTTCCATGTCTTGTGTTATCTGAAGATAGTTTGCTACCCAAGTCTCTTTGCTTGCTGGCATCACTTTTAGGTTAAATAGCCTGCTTACCTGTATATTCACACAACTATAAAATGAACAACTGGCCAAAGCACTTCACAATCAGCCATAACTCTTTGTGAGGTGGAAGACCAGAAGTATTTCTGCAGGTCAAGTTTCCAATTCAAACTATTCAGTAACAGATCTCACAAGTAGCCGGGATCTTCCCTTCCAGGGTGCTGTACACAACAGATTTCCAAAATGCATTTTTTTTTTTTTTTTACAGTGTA